ACTCTACTGTGGACTCCCCTTAAACTATAAAATCTTCTACAGTATATTCTGGGGGAGGAAGAAATTGATAGATTCTATAAAGGAGTACAGGAAGAATACCATACAGGATGTCAAACTGATCATTGGAGATTGGAATGCAAAAGTTGGAAGCAAAGAAGAACCAAAAATAGTAGGCAGATTTGGATTAGGCAAAAGAAACTAAGTAAGTGAGCATCTCTGAGATTTTTGTGAAGCCAACAACCTATTCATTGCAAACACATTTTTCATACAACCACAAAGATGGCTATACACATGAACATAACCAGATGGTCAACACAAAAATCAAATAGATTATATAATTGGAAGCAAAAGATGGCAGAACTTTATACTGGTGGCCAAGACTAAACCAGGTGCCAACTGTGGCACAGATCATGAACTACTCATATCAAAAATAAGAGCAAGACTCAAGAAGAAAAAAACCCCAGTGATTATCCCAAATATGATCTAAATAATATCTCAATTGAATTTACTGAAAACATAAGAAACAGATTCACACTACTAAGCATAACAGACCAAAAACCAGAGGAACTATGGTGTGAAACCAGGGACATAATAAAAGAAGAATGCAGTCAGACGCTTTCAATAAACAAAAAGAAAGAGAAAAAAACATGGATGATAGAAAAAATACTACAAGCAATAAAGAAAATAAGAAAAGAAAAACAAAAGGGAGATAGGAGCAAACTAAGAATTATGCATGCAATAGTACAACAGGATATGTGGAAAGATAAAGAAAATTATTACAATGATCAATGCAGAGAAATAGAAGACAACAACAAAAAGGGAAGAATTTCACAACATCTGGGAAATCGAAAGAAAATTCAAACCAAGGACTGGAACGCTCTGTGACAGTAAAAATAACATAATTCAAAACCAGGGAGAAATAAAAAGACGTTAGATGCAACACACAGAAGAATTATACAAAAGAGATTACAAAGTGAAGGACACATGGAACGAAGAGCCATATGATGGTGAACCCCAGATTCTAAAAAAGTGAGGTGGAAGCTGCAATAGAAGAAATAGTGAAAAACAAATCACCAGGAACAGATGGTATTCCAATTGAACTGCTGCAATTCACATTGACAGAGTCAACTCTAGTGCTAAGCAACATATGCCAACAGATATGGAAAACAAAACAATGGCCAACAGATTGAAAGCGATCAATATACATCCCCATCCACAAAAAGGGAGACACAAGCGACTGCAGCAATTATAGGAACATAGCACTGATCTCCCACGCAAGCAAAATCATGCTCAAAATTGTGCAACATAGACTCCAACCATACATGGAGAGAGAAACCCAGAGGTCCAAGCAGGGTTCAGGAAAGGAAGAGGCACAAGGGACCACATTGCAAACATATGATAGCTAATGGAGTGCATCAGGGAATTCCAAACGAAAATTAGCATATGCTTTATAAACTATAGCAAAGCCTTTAACCATGAAAGGCTATAGAATGCCCTTAAAGACATGGGAGTGCCAGCACATCTGATAGTCCTGATGAGGAATCTGTATTCAGGACAAAAGGCTATTGTCAGAGCAGAACATGGAGAAACAGAATGGTTCCCAATTGGCAAAGGAGTTAGACAAGGCTGCATCCTTTCACCCTATCTGTTCAACTTGTATGCAGAACATATTATAAAAAAAGCAGGCTTGGACACAGAAGGAGGAGGAGTGAAAATAGGAGGAAGGAATATCAACAATCTAAGATATGCAGATGACACCATAATACTAGCAGAAAACCTCACAGACCTGAAACATCTAGTAAATAAGATCAAAGAAGAAAGTGCAAAGGCAGGCTGAATGCTGAACATAAAGAAAATAAAAACAATGACCACCAAGGACCTTCACAAGTTCAACCTAGACAACGAAGAAATAGAAATAGTAAAAGAATTCCCATACCTGGGATCAAACATTGATGGAAATGGGGACTGCAGTCAGGAAATCAGAAGAAGACTAAGGGGGGAAGCAGACAAGTGGCCATGGGCCTCCCCAGGAAGCTGCGCCACGGGACTGAGGCATCCCC